TATATATATATATATATATATATATATAACTAACTGCAGACAGTACTGTTTCGGCCTTCTGGGCCTCATCAGTGCAGTGCTAATGCTAGGATGGGGGAGAACCGAGACGGTCACCCCAAACGACCCAACCTTTGTGGTATCGTCTAAGCCATGCCAGAGTGCTCAAACTAGAGTAAACCAGCGAGCATGCGCAATTGCAACGGCAATGACTCATCCTAGATAGAGTGCTCAATTTGGACATGAAAGCAAAGCTTTGTATGCCAAAGAGCTATATATATATATATTTAACAACTATTCACCAAAGTGGAGTTAGTCAGTGGACATTTACCGAGCCGCGAAGCGGCGAGGTAAATATCCACTGCTAACCACCGACACTGAGGTGAATAGTTGTTTTAGTATATACTAAAACAGTGAGATAATATACACCACTGTCGTTAATTTGAGTGATGTCTTAGCTTGTCACGGATGCGAACGGGGACGCCATTTTTTCCCGAGTTGCTCGGAGGTAAATAGCAAAGGATATTCGGAGTTTGACTAGCCAATCAGAGCGCGCCTTCAACGCTATCCATTGTTTTAGTATATACTAAATACATATATTTACTTCGCTTCTAGTGGATATTCCGGCGTTATGTAATTGTTAAATATCATATCTGTTATGATATTTTTCTTGGAGTTGAAAGGTTTGGCGCAGTTCATCATCAAAAAATAGAAATATCAAGATAATTACAATATAACTAGGAATGAAGTAATCTTTGTTGATTGCTATGATTCCTTTGTCGATATATGGATCCATGTTCTCTATGCTGTTCTCTAGACATTTCCTAAGATGCCGGCCAAGAGAATTAGTTGAACAATCAAGAGCCTCTTTCTATTTGCTGATCATTTTCTTTATTCCTATGACCTCAATACTTAATTTGGAAGTGATACTCGGTAAAGAGGAATTAAATGCCAGATTAAGTACAACCGCAAAAATCATTATCTTGTCCGTAGTCAGTTTTTTTCATTACCAGAGTGTGATTGCACTATAATCAAAGGTCCTTGAAGCTACCTCAGGGTATGATTTAGTTACTCAATAACGTACCTTTTGCCATCTCGTGACGTACCCGGGCCCTAACTTTAACGACCGTTCGGTTGATTTTTGACCTTAAAATATCCACCTGCATTAAACAATATTCATAAAGGAAGTACTTTGTAATCCCTTTTACGTCAAAGACGTCACGACCAAGCGCCGGAGGCTATTGTTCATTTGTAGTAGCTTTTTGTATCATGAAAATTGACCATCCGTTTTAATGGTCTATCCCTTCAATATCAACCTTTTTTAAGTGGAATACATTTCAGTCTAGTTTGATTTAACATAAAATTCACAATGATTAACCTGATTGGATAAAACAACGTTACATCATGTTGCATGTTATTTTAACGAGCTTGATAAACGTGGCAATTACGCGAAGAGGTCAACGAGACAGGAAGCCAGTGTTTACCGCTATATGATGATAACGTCCAAGAGAGCAACCGTAAAAAAACTTGGAGCTTTTCTCCTCCTCGCTCTAATCACAGCTTCTGCATTGCTAATGACGAGCAACGAAAACAAGCTTAGAGAACTCAATCTGTGCTTGGAGAACTCACTTGAAAAACATGTAGAGCGGACAACGGCGGAAACTGAAGAATTGGATAGCGGACGTTACATAACTGGTAGATTATTAAAAACAGCAGAAGTAACAGAAGCTGAAAGCAAAGAAACGAAAGACTCACTTGTTTATATTGAACAACAAATAAAACTTACAACACGGTCAGTAGAGGAAGCAACCAACAGAACGGAAAAAAGTTCAGAAACCACTGAAGCAACAGAAAAACCAGTGTCTCCTCCATTTGTATATCTCACACAGACTGAGAAATGTCTTCGATCAAAGTTTTCTCGCAATCTGGAATTACACAACCCTTCGAAATGCCGCTGTGATGTTATTGTGTTAAGTTATAGAGAAGAATGCCACCAAGTAAGACCGGCTCACTTCATCTACTTGTTTGACAACACAACCACTTGGGGATCTGGCCGAAACAAGCTTTTCTTCCACGCGACAAAGAGAAACATTTTAAATTACATCTATTACATTTTTCTTGACGACGACATTTCATTGAGGTTCAATGGCCAAGCCACTCCAGCCCTGAGAAAACTCAATCCAATCCAAGTTTTCCAAAACTGGCTTCTGGATTACGAGCCCGCTGTCGGCGTAGTCGATTATGAGACGCGTAAGGAGGGAAGACTTGTGCGTTTAAGGAAAGTAAATATTTGTGGAAGGCGTTATGCACTGAAAAAAACAGAAGCCAACCCAACAATATTTTTCGACCCTCTCTTTCACGCCATCCATGCCAAAGCGGTCACTCACATATATCCGCTAGATACACGCTATGAAAAGAAAAACTGGTGGCTCACTGATAAATATCTAGCTTCAGTTGTAGAGATGAAGTTTCGTGGACAAGCACTGCTGTATTTTCCACTCACAGTCGAAAATGGCCTCCACCGGCCTTATCCAGGATCTTTGGCTGGAACAAGAGTGGCTTGGCAAAAATTTATCAAACACATTCAAACGCAAGCACCTGATAAATACAAAAACCATCCTTTATTTGAGAATTTTAGAAAAAATCCAACTCTTTATGTGGACAGATCATGGACATATTGCATGGAAATAACTCGCCACCAGGAAATCGTTCCATTTGCGCACTTGACAAAAGGACTGCCAGTGGCAAAAGAACAGCCAGAAAAACATCTGCGTCCAGCGAAGAGTATACGTAACCGCGTACGTAGGAAAAGGTTCCCTTATCCACTGTAACTAAATTTAACATTGACTACTGGGTCAGTATATTCCTTACAATTTTCAACGTCTCCTGGCCATACCGCATATACAAATTCTTTCTCTTTGGCCATCGTAGGTTGATAAGAAATAGCAAGTAAAGTTTGCTAGTCTTGTTTTCCAACATGCATTTTACTGTCATGTTTGTAACTGCAGTTTGTGCGCTATTTCTTATCAAGCTACGATGGCCAAAGAGAAAGAATTTTTATGATACTGGGTCAATATATTTTATGATGTCATTTGTATGCCTGCATGCGTCATTTGTGATTTTTAATTTTAAGTTCACAAAGCCATGCTTCATCGAGAAGAATGCTGAAATCTACGACCATGATTTTTTCTGATTCTTACCGATCTGGCGTCGGGAAATCACAAAAGGAGTGTCGTTATCCCTGGCACTTAGTTTATATTTATGGCCAACTGAGCTATAACACTGAATTTCTTTGATTGGTCATGAACTGCTATTTTAGGAAATCTCACTGTAAAGAAATTTTGAACTTGGTTAAAGTAAAATAGATTTTAATTTTACGATCTAGTGTCAATACTGCAGTTTATTGAAGGCTGTGTCCGGCGAGTGTCGGGTGTAAAACAATAAAAACAGCAACAGGTAGGCCAAAGACAAAACAAATAAAGCAAAACAAAGCCATACTGCTTCACTCAGGACAACGCAATTAACAAAAAGAAGAGGTACTAAGTTAGGTAATATCATTTTATGGCAAGCAGTCCTGAGATAAATCTGAGCGCTCTGAATGGTTCTTATTTGGTCGGGATTTCGCCATACGGGCCGCGTTTCCAAGGAAACGGCCATGAGCTGAGTATGATGTGTACGAAAGCCGGCAAGTTTTAAAATAAATAGACAAGATTGGTCCTAGTGTCATTTAATAAAGATCTTACTAATGTAACTTGTTTGAGCCACATGCCAGGCCCCTGAGCCCACGGAATCGGCCGCGAAAATCGTCAGCGACTTTTTTCAAAATGGCGGCCTGATTTGAATTGCAAAAATTTAGCTAATTTATGACATAAATTTGAAAAGCGGAGATTTCTGGGAAGTTTGCAGGCCAGGCTGCTAATCACAAAGAAAGCAAAGCACATGGCGGCTTTCGAGGTTCAGGTTTTGCTGCAGTTCAGGTACGTTTTTCTCTATTTTAAGCCATTTTTCCATAGATCGTCGGGCCTAGTCTATTGACATTTCGTGCTCTTTTCTATAGAAATAAATTGCGATCTGGTTGTGGCATAGAAAATCAAAAACGGCAGAAACCTAGCTGGTAGCATGGAAATCCCAAAAATGCCTTAAAATTTCGTGTGAAACTTGGCTTTCTTCTTCTAAAAAATGTACCCACGTTTTGGCGGTCAAGGGTCCCACTGGGACAGCCATATAAAGTAGTCAATAGCCAACAAGGTCAATGTTATGCAGTTATCAATGTTTAA